TCACGGCAGGGTACGATGTGGAAAAATTATAATAGGCAGAAAATAAAAGGTTAACGTTGTGATTACAACGGTTTTAATCAGCCACCCAACAAGAAGAGCCGTCACTAAACTTTGGGCATCAACTCGGCCCGTGATGACACCACGTAGCGGCAAGCAACTCCGTGAATGTGTACATCTGTTACTCCTTTCCCTTCCGATGAGGCCTCCAAATAATATAAGATAGGTATTCATACAGTGGATGGTGGAAAATATCTAACAGTACCATCAATTCCGAAATTTAAACTACGATGCGAGCGGCTTGACGAACGTGGTGGAGAGTTGTAGGGTCGTTTTGGTGTTCTGTCCATCGTAACGCTGATCCGTGTTTGTATGCAAAACCAAGACCGAGATTTTTCTCTGGAACAACGCTATTTTGCTCCAGCCGTTATGATTCATAAGTAATTAGACCATACATGTAAAGTTGTGAGGTGCGATGTCGAAATATAGAAACTGAAGAGTAGTTAAAAAGTGAGCTATTAATTTATTAGGTACCGCACCGCCGTACTGCTTGGCTGCAAGGTGGTTTGACCTGCCGTACTGCTTGGCTGCAAGGTGAGGGACAGATAATATTCGCGGGTGTCTTTCTATAGGATATTGCACAAAGAACGTTTAGTTCAGCAGCGACTATGCAGTCGTAGCAGCACACAATGTCATTTGCTTCGATCGTACACGATGTACTATGAAAGTGAGAAAGTACTGTCACATTTCTTGTCATTTAACACCAACTCAACCCGTTAGATCACCTAGCTGCGGCACAACTCTGTTAGTGTTTACATGAGTCACTCTTTTCCATTCTGATGACGTTTCCAAACAAATTACAGTCAGAGCTCTCCTTCACTCTGGATCCAGTGGATCTTATATTATTGAAGATGTTGCTGCTTTGCATCTGAACATCCCGTGAATGTTCTCTGTAACAATTATCAAATAGTCATCTATACAGACTACAGTGGGAAATATCTTGCAGTAAGACTAATCTCGAAATTGACGGACCCACTAGCACTAGTGTCATTCCAAGCAAGCAAGACAAAGCGCGTAGGAGATGTGTCGTGCAACTACCCTTCAAAGTAATGTGTCTAGTCACAGAATGCTGGTTGGGACGGTTCGGATGACCATGAACACAAATTGCATTTCATGATTTGTAAGAGCGTTATGCAATTATAAACTTTTCTACATCATGTATTAAATAGCACATAAATTGGGAACTAAGGATGGACTGAAATTGATTGACATATATCTGTCATCAGAATAATAACAGAACACATATACTAATCATGTAAAGACCTATTTCTAAACGTTTCAATGCCGACAAGATGTTCACAATCGTGATACGCTCTAAATAGGCCATGAGCGCTCGTCGCACAACTGAATGAGCTCGTAGTGCTGCAATAAGGAAGTTGAATCAATTGAGTTTACTTTCTGGGAATCCGACCAGTCAGCGGGGAATCCACCGTCTCCTCTTCAGTGCACCATGGAAAATCTTGCGTATGACGGCGCGTAAACTTTTACCTACCAGCAGTTCGTCCATTAAATAAGAACGAAAAGTAGATTGGCTCCACACATCTATAAAATGAAGTCGGAATTGAATGGTCGTTTGCATGGGATAAACATGCTGAAACGCCTTCTTCCATTACTGAGCAAACATGAGGCTGATAAAAAGTCACTTTGCTAACGTTTCAACGTTCTCCTCTTCTTCAGATCCCGATTGATCCGAGTCTATGATCCACAGCTGGTGCTTGTAGCGATGTGGCTGTTCGTTGTCGCGTCGAGTGGAATTCGTTGGAGGTGCACCGCTTGTCAACAGGTCGATCAAAATAACAACGGTAGCGGGTTACCCATGATAAACAGCATTTGTTCGCAAAATGCGGATGTCTAAATCAAAGGATATGTTATATGTTAGTATCAACAATACCATATCTTCAGTAATATATGGATTAGAATAATTAGGTCAGCTTAACTGGGCTCAATGCCGATGTAGGCTTCCCAGTTCAATCCCGTTGACAGGTGATACTGATGGCACTGATCGATAGACCTCGCTGAGAAACAGGAGAAACGAGAGCCCGCATGGTGTGGTGGTGAACCCGTTAACCCCCGGAAAGGGTAATAGCGGGTTCGTTCCACACCACAGATACCTGCGGTCCGAAGTTTTGCAAATACCTCAGCATCGTTGTAGTTGTATTTCGCATAATAACCTGCCGCGAAAATTGTAGTAGGCAGAAAATAAAAAAAATAAGCATTGGAATAGAATATTGTTTACTCTTTATACAAAGCATTTGCCACCACAATAGTGATATGCGAGGATAAAGCACTGGTTAACAATCGTACACATCTGTCCACTTTTGAAGCAGTATAAAATGACCGCGGTCGGGGTTATAACAGTTTATAGCAATAACAATGATACAATAATAATACGTGATATGTGACGATATGTGGTTAGCTGGGTGGATATGAAAGAGATGATGAGAACAAGTGATACACTTGAAAGAAGCTAGGCGGACACTGGAGTTGGAGCAGTGAGGAACTGAGAGACTGGAAGATAAGCACTGGAAGATTGGAAGACGAGCACTGGGGGTTGCAACTCAGGCACTGGTAGATTAGAAGACAGACACTAGTCTCTATGACTACTGGTGCTCCTTATATTCTGCCTGTAACGGGTGGGGTTTTACAGAGGGAGTCAGAGATAGTGCTGATTCAGGACATTGATACGGTACATGCGGAGCAGTACATCAAATGAGACGGTATGCCAGAGGCTTTGTCAACACGGAACTTATTCAGATAGCGAAGGAATAGCTCGCAGAGGAAGGCTATTTGAAAGGCTACGCAGACTTAACAAAAGGTCATGTTAGAATAGCTTGTACAAAGGCACGCTTTTACCGAAAGTACGTGTCGAAACGGTATAAATACTTATACATTATGAATGGATAGATTTAAGATAGTTATAAGCAAATAGTTAGTATAGCAAACATGTGATATTATAGAGAATAGGAACTATTTAAAGAATAGTTACTATAGCACAAATATAATTCGTATTTGCGTCAGTACCGCCAGTGAAGGCTGGTTTAGTTACCAATGAGGGCAGCGATCTCGATGATGGGTGTTATTTCCCAGCGATTAGCAGTCACGAAAAAATTAGAGGACAGACAGAGAAGGGACCACGGTCATAGAAGGAAAGCAATGCATAGTACGGGTTAGTAAGTAAATAGTATATGGATATGACCGCTGACTTTATTGTGTTTCGATTTGGATATAGTAATTTGTTTATCTTTCATTTTATACAACCTGTCTTCATGTCTGCTGTGTGGATTCCAGCACTTCTGAAATTTGATTCGTTTTCTCGTAGCCACTGTACACGAAAATCCTCCAACTATTACGTGGTGGCTCCTGTTGCTGCTTGAGCATTTTCATTTCATTTTGAATGTCGTAGAACGCTGGTCGACCTATTCTCCTTGAAGCCCTGAGATAGCCGGGCTGAAGCGTTCCCAGTTGAATTGCAGAGTGTGGATTTTTTCTCAGACAAGTCTGGTACCAATTTCCCGACCCGGAGGGATGAGAGGCTCGGCTGGCCTACAGCGGAATCTAACTAGCACCATACTCATGAAGCACTACCACTGTGATATCCGCCTATTGATAGTAATAATGCTAGTAATACTATGGGATTAATCAGAAGTGTAGATTTATAACCTTACAATGTCTCTTACCGTTCTCTACTCCAATGCATTTGATTCGATAAGAAAGCGAGTACCTACCCTGTGAGAGCTCACTATTGTGAACATTCGGACTGGATTATTCTGCCTTTAGTGAAGGTGACGGCGCCAGAACTTAAGTAGCAAACCAAAACAAATTTTTATTGTAATATTGCGTACACTTTTCAATAATCTAAGGTGTTGATTTTGTGAGATTGGCTGAATATAGACATAGAAGCTTAGTAAGGCATTTTAAGATTGGAAACTTTATTTCTTTGTGCACAACCCTGTCGCCGATCCTGCTCCATTTTCTTTCCCAGCAACGACTAAATTCATGCAAGTCTCTGCTATTTAAAGTACACCCTGTCCGTAACAGCACCAATAAGTTTTGCCAAATTTAATTCTAAACATGACAGAGCACCCTATTCTCAGAAAGTCCTTCCCACTCTATTTCAACCATAGATGTTGGGCGATAATTTCTATTTGAGCTCCTACTAACCCCGATAGCTCTGCACAGCGATCCGCTGGGTAATCATGACTGCCAAACAATTCATTTGAAAAAGTCACCTAAACTACTAAATGACAACCCTTCTTGCCGATTATTGGCAGTAATGGCGCCGTTAGGTAGAAAACTAGCTGGGAGGAATGACAAACGAGGACACGCATGGTATGGTGGTGTACGTGTTAGCCTTCGAAAAGAGTAATAGAGTGTCCGATCGCCACCACAGACATGAAGTTTTGCAAATATTTCAGTATCATTGTGGTTGTATTTCACATGATACCGTAGTACACCCGCATAAGTTAATATTAAATGATAACTGAAGAAACTACACTGTACTTGGAAATACTGCAAAAACGGCATAGAAAAACCAGTTAATGATTGTCTACACATTACGTCCGTGCAGGAAGATCTGCAATCACTTTCAATAACAGTTTCCAAGAAGTCAAAGCTGTGGATGACAAATTCATGCTCAGCTTAAATCTTAACTATTGTTACTTCAACGCACCAACATGAATAGACATTAGTGCATTCAAGAAAGTAGCAAACGAGAGCAACATCAACAAGAACAACAGGCCTTTGCCATTCATATGTAACCGTTTACCGTGGAAACTGATATAGTTGAGTCGACAAACATAGATCTACATAAATTCTGCGCATTTTGCAATTTGAAATCAACATCAAGCAACTTCTAACGATAACAATATCATCTGAACAACACAAGTCGATCGTGACCAGCTTAATGTACGAGATTAATTGGAATAAATTTAGCACAGCTAACATTAGGAGGAAACTGAATGCTTTTTCGCCTTAGTTTCATCTTGCTGTTCAGAACCACGCTCCTTTGCACTCCTCGAATTAAGTGAGTCGCCGCCTAAATGTGATTCAACAGCTGAAAATCTAGGCAATTCAGAAACCGAATTTTCCAGGACCTAGCGAACCTTTCTAGTTTCCAAATATCGTTTTCTTCAGTTTTCCTAAGAAACTTGGTTCCCCACCAACAGATTCTTGAGTGTCAGACTCACCCTTAGGTGACTGATTCTCCTCAGATCTTTCACTTTTCGATTCCATTCCTTGCCGTTGCTTTGACTGCCCTGCGAATTTCGCACCTTTAATGTGGCGAATAGAATATTTTAAGTGAGTAAAAGACTCATTATAGGGAAAACTGAAATTGTACACGTTACAAATAAAGCGCATATGATAAAAAAAATAGCTCATGCGAAATAAAATAAACGAAACAAAACTCTGAGTAAATTTCCCGACTAATTCTGAAGGTAGATAACTCAACTTACTATATTCTTCAAAGCCATTCACTGTTCCACTTTTAGGTTTTTCTGTACCAGCCCATGCCAACATCAGCGAACGCTGTTCCGCACTTAAATGGCTAAAAAAGATTAGATTAGATCAGATATAGAGACCTATTTTATATTTGAGAGATAAAAAGAAGACGATTTCCGACAGACACATAGAGTACAATAGTTCGCACCTCGGAACCGTGACCTTTATATGGATATATTGGTCGCCATAGCCCGCAGAGTTTAGCCGTTTAACACCCTTTCCGGAAAGTCTGAAAAATCAAATTTTGGGCAGCCTATCCCGTTCGGAGCGACATGGTATAGTAACGGAAAATCTATTGCTTTACCGATCTTACTTCCCACGTACATTCAACAAACACTGATTAACTGATATGTACATTAAATCGCCTTTTGAAAGACCGTTAAAAGGCGATGAGGAAGAAAAACCGATATTTGATTAACTGTATGCGCTCATGAGACAAACTCCAACACTAGAGTTATAGAAAAAAAAACGAAATTAAAATGAAAACATGAGGAAATGAAAGAACACGCAGACTTGCATCATTTAGAGCGAAACTGAGAGATTCGCGATGACTTTTAAATTTTTGCTATGCACAATGTGCATTGAAACAAATGCATGCATTTCGTCGTGCCTCAAAACATGACTCTGTAATCCACTTGTCATGCCTACTTTTTTCCTCACTTCTGTTTTTGGACTTCGCATCCCCTTCAAATCCTTCCACAGTTACTTCTACGTTTCCGGATTACTAATTCTTATGTACGATAGTATAAAACCGGTCCACCATCTGAAACAAGGCGCTGTCAGCCTTTGATAGTAAGTTTTGTCATATTTAAAGCATAAATTTGTATTTACTAATATTTTTTTTAAAGAAGGTGATAAAGTAAGCCCGTTGCGAGCAATGAAAAAGTGTGTGGAGTTGATAACGCTGGCGATGGCATGACAACTGAAACCTCGACGACAGTGAAATTCGATGCAAGAACTGATATATTACCGCGAAATAATGACGGTTGGTATTTGGGATCCGGCTAGTGGAGATAGATGAAAACATTTATAAGTCTGTGCTTCTGGATGGGAGTTATCAGAGCGCATTTGCTGAGCGATTATTAAACTTGCTGTATACCACATGGCAATGTCCTAGTTGAACCGATATCAGCAAATTCGTTCGGTATCATGTATCATCAAAATAACATGCTGTATGACAGCAATCTGCTCGTGGAGTTTCTTGAAAGAAATTGTAAAGGAGGATATAGAACAAGAAAATACGTCCCTATTATCACCTGCAGACTAACGCCTAAAACCGTGTGGCTCACGCATCTATCTGACGTCTAGTTTTTAGACACATTCCCAGTAAGTGGCTCTCCACTCACGCCGATCATTACGCACAATTAAGCAGATGGCTCCGCCCCATTTGTTGTACTCGTTTTTTATACCCAAAGACAGTGAGTGCATAGCTACACCCTCAGTTGACCATATTATGGGTACAACGCTGAGAAAATGACGTTGTGATAGCTCCTACAAGGCACTAGAATAAATTAAGGATCCAGCATCTGATGGTATATGTTTCAAGTTAATAAACACTAGATGCTGTCAATACAACAAACCCTTCTTCCTGGAAAGTAATCTTCATTAGCAGTATGAGTAATGTATAAACCGTAAAGGTCTCTGAATATTAACTTTATTTTTTTCCTTTTCACATAACCCGACGTCGCATGTACCACACTGTGAGGATCGCAAAACTTCTTTTCCTTAGATTCATTTCCACGCATTTAGCATCCATAAAGATCTTGAAACGTTTTGCATGTGGCTTCAGCTGCGGTCCTAGGATATTTTGGTCCTCACCACGAATGTCGTTGAATGCTGATCGAGTCACTGGTGCAGGGAAACCTGAGATAGACGTGCTGGGGCGCTCCCGAGTGAAATCGAGGAATTAAGGCAAACAGTTTTTGAAATCTAGTATACAAGTCCATTGTACAAATCACCCACATAAGTTTAAGTCATTTAGCACCCCATGGTAGTGAAGAGACACCTCTAAGTATCGAACTGTAGTACTGAATCGCAGCAGAAACGTCTACGTTCTTTCCTAAACGGCAACATTCTCTCCAACCACCGCCCTGCGTCAGCGATAGTCCCATGCTCGCGAAACGAAGCCGTCCAAAAAACTATTTTTTATATTTTTAACAGCAATGTAGCTCTGAAAACGACTAAATAGTTGAAAGGCCACCCGAAAACATAAAAAATTCGTGATAGCCTAATAAGCCAAGATAATGACTGTTGCAGCTGAGGCTAAATGGCGGTCGATTTTTAAAAATCTATAGAATGTATTTCTAGGGCCGATATCCAGCATGCAGTATCGTCTGCGTTCGATAGGGCTACCCATTGATTATAAAAGGGCAACAAAAAAACTGCATAATGCACAATCAATGACCGCAATGAGAATGGGTGAACATCTACTCATGTCAGTCATTCGTCAAATGCAATTCATGAAAGTCCCAATGTGTTAACGATTTCGTGACAATGTCGACTTTTCGATAAAAAGTGCAAAGCATTTTAATTTTATCAATACCTGAGGAAAGCGCCATGCATTCGACTTCATTGAGTATTGCAAGAGGTGAGAGAATACATATCTCGTCTATACAACGATTTATGATGGCCTACCAAGAAATCAAACCAGTGCTACTAACCCTTCCAGATATGCTCGGTACCAATTTGCCGATAGTGTAGGCTTGGAGGGCTTTAGAGGCGAGGCTAAAGCAATGACCATGTATACTGCAGTACAACTCTGACAACTGAACTGCATCATCGTTTTTTTTTTGTTTTCCAAAAACTGAAGGTAATTTTTTTGAACAAGGGGGAGGGAGGGATAGCACAGTGGTAGTGATCGCCGTGACCACGAGCACGGTGCTTCTTCGATTCTGCACCAGGGCAACCGAGTCTCTCATCCCTCCGGGTCCGAGGAATTGATACCGGACTTATCTGGGAAAAAAAATCATTCTCTGCAATACAATTGGTAATACTCCAGCCCTGCTATCTCAGGACTCCAAGGAGAAATGCTTGACCAGCATTCTACGACATTCAAGATGAAATGGAAATCCTCAAGCAGGAACCGAACCCACACGTAAAAATCGGAAAATCTTCGTGGATGATGGATGCGAAGAAACGAATCGAATGTGAGAAGTGCTGAGCTCTCCACAGTAGACATGAAGACGGGTGATATAAAAAACTTTTTGATCGCCATTTGATTTTTGATATTTACTTTTGATTAGATGTCCAGAACTCTATACATTTTCAGAGATGATTTTGCTCTATTGCATTAACCGCACAATTTTAATAGCGTCATTTCACAACTAATTATGTTTAAAAATAAGACTTTCAGAAAACTGATAGCGAAATCTAAGCGTTTAATTATTTCAAAGGAACAGCGATAGCTATAAATATAAATGATACAATAATAAAACCATCTCGTTTTGGTGAACGAAATCTGCTTGTTCACTTGCTTTCATGTTTAAAACATAGACATTGACGTAATAAAGTGGAAGAACCATATGTTATGGGTCCCAGAAAATCAATATTCCACCGTAGTAAAATAAAAGCCCTTTACTGTGCAGGCGAAGATTTGAAGATTCCAAAACTCCAAATCAATGAAATTCAACACGAGATGAGAAACGTTGACCTGAAGTTGAAATGTGGCACTGTTTTCGAATCGTATGACTTTTACGCCATCACGCATGTGTTAACGAGTCTTTAGTGTCGTTTAGAAAAACAGTGAGAGAAAGGGATAGAATAGGATCGCACTAGATTCATCTAATACCTCCCCCACAAAAAGCACACGCATCACATTGGAATTCTTGTTGAGTCGACGAAGAGACCCACAGAAAACTTGATCGCACGTTGACAATTGGTATGCAAGCATTATTGGCTGAGAGATTATTAGAAATAAAGACGAGCCAACAAGCAGATGCAGAGAATGAGGAAACGATTTCACAAACAGGTCAAAGACCAAAAATTGAAAAAAAGAGAATGATAGCCCAATATGAGTGTTGTAATAGTGCTTAAGTGAAAATAAAAAAGGGATGTTGTCCATCAATTAGCCTTAGAATTGAGCAGGAAAATGTAATTTGTGGAAACATCGAGGGTGTGGTGAGCAGAATAAAGGACATCCAACTCCGAGTCCATTTCTTCGACTCAAGGATTCCTTCTGCTTTAAACGTACGTGTGGGTAACCTGGCTCCAAAATACGTGAACAAGCAAAGGACAGGGACGCTGTTGTACATGCAAAAATATCCAAACTCAGGTAAACCAACATGTAACAATGCGTTTGAAGAACACCGATGGAAAGAGCCCTTCGCGACTACGTTGCTCTGAACATTAAAGGCATAGCAGTGAACCGCAAAGCTGATGGTCAGAATTCTTCCCGAAGATCCCACAGGAATGAAGAAAAGGATATGATGCTAGGCAAATACATCGAAGAGAAAGCCACTGCAGTACTCTTGCACACGATGTACAAGTGGAGAGTTTACAGGCGCCCACTCCAGCCACTCGACGATCAAAGGATACAGGTTATTAACAGAACATCACCAAATATGGATAAATTCCAAAGACCGCGAGTTGATAAAACTTGGAACTGGGAAGCTCGGTGTTGAGATGAGTGACCTTCCTGCATCGTATTCACCGAATATCAAAAAAGCTACCAAAGGCAACAGTTATCAACACCTCTCCATTGCTTTGGAACACAAGGTTATTTTCTTCTACGTTGCTTGAGTATGCACGACTTTCTTCCATATCAACCACGACTGCTTGGGGACACACGCAGAAACTAATGTGGGAAATGAAGATTTTAGAAAAAAGAAGATTCAAGTACATTTTGGATTCATTCCACTACAAAAGGTACCATCACCTTTAATTACCCGTTCTTGAACATAAAGACAAAAAAACATTGTGATGGTGATGGATAAGAAATTATCAAAGTGATAAAACAACAGACTTGTTGCCAACACAAAAAATTTTTGTTTTATGTAGAACTTTTGCAAAGTATAAGCTACAAAGATTGTGGATTGCAATGGTTGTCAATAGCGTGTAAAAACGGTCCTCTGTAAAGGTTGCGTACACAGGTTGTACAAGTAGAAGAGTAAGACTACAGTAAAGAAATTTTTGAGTACAACGTCAGAGGGGAAAAGAGCTCAGAATTTGCGATGCATGCAAAAATGAGCTCTGTATTTCGACGGACAAGCACTTCGTGGATGTCTCGATCTTTTGTATGTGATAAAAACATGTACACGTGTCCTCAGTGGTTTACAATCTTAACGCAGCCAGGATGTGTCTTTAGGGGTCTAGTTTTAGCGTACGAGTAGAAAATTTTGTACTCTCCGCATGAGCAATTCTCCCCTCAGGACCCAGTGATGTTAATAAACTCGTCAAAAAACCAGCCAGCTTCTTTTTATAAACTGTTACAAAACACAGGATGAATCTGCGAAAGAAAAGTAATAGATTAAAGATGAAAATTATAGGAAAAAACAAATTATTGGGAAAGACTAGACAGTCGAAAATAAACCCAAATAAGTGTCTATTTTCGAGAATATGTTAATAAAAACAAGGAAGCCTACTGTATACTGACACTGTAATGAACACTAAACCAAGCAACAAAAAAGAAATCACCTCATTTTTGTATGACTTGATGTTCCAGGTGGTATGTGAACATAGGTGTCATCAATAACGCCAGGGACCTTAACAGTGCCTCCAAGAACAGCTTGAGCTATGGTGATCTCAACATCACAGTGAATATCGTCTTTATCACGATGGAACTTCAGTGAAGGTGCTACGTTGAACACCATGTATATTTGATTCTAAAATATTCTTCTGAATCAATCTCCAAATATTTATTTTACAAGAAAAGAGCTAGAAAATACAGCGAGACTCAGTGTTCAATTCCTAAAAAGAAAGAAGTAGTAAAGCGTAATTGAAAATGGCACCTTTCCGATTTGGAATCGGACGCGATCCTTATCGTTTGTACCTGCAGGAACATTGAATGAAATCTGCCTTCGTTGAACGCTTTGTCCATGACCCTCACATTCTTGACAAGGGTTCTTCAAAAAAAAAAAAAAATAAACGCTAAGTGAGAAAAGAAGCATATAATTTCCGGTGGAAAATTACACTACGATATTAGCTGCTCTTACATTACATTTTATTATATTAGTTGATGATATAATGGTTACAATCACAAACTTTGTTATAATGGCCTGAACCACCACAACGATTGCAAGATGCCTGGTAGAAAAAACCACCCTGTAACCGCTGAGAGATCATCCCTGTACCATTGCAATACGGACAAGAGACCTGGAATATTTGCTCGCTTAAATAAAAAATTTAGAAAATTCAGAAAAAATTCAATTTCATTTTCTACAGAATGTGATCAAAAGTTGAACAAACAAGACTGGTTCTTTCTATACTATGGTACCTTTTTATAGCCTGGCTCCACTTGTGAGCCTTTGCATCGTGTGCAGTCTTCCACCACGTTCACAAATATGTTCTTTTGAGCACCTATAAAACATTACTATTTCCAATAAATATAAAAGATATGTCGCTGTAAAAGTAGTAGGCTAAATATGGTTCTCATCAAGCCAAAGTCGTATATTGTTAATACACCTCGCACTGCCTCCTCAAACGAGATATCAACGACCATCTCTTGAGCATGCGAATGACCAAACTGATTCTCTGCGAACGAATCCCAGTTAAATCCACCGTCCTAAACAATAAAGCCAGTAACTGGACAGACATGTGAGGATGGCAGAAGGCCAGTTTCCAATGAAACGAAGTGTCAAAAACTGCCATCGTCTAGTTTATGTAAAAGATAAATTTCACATACAGGTGCCCGAGCAAGCATTGCGCAGATATTTATAAAAACATAGGAATATAAAAACTTACACCACCGAAGCCAAACGCACGACGAAATATTTCATTAACATCTACGGTGCCTTTGTATTGCCATTCGCCCCCTCTTCTACCCGGTCCTCCGGCAGACGATGCACTTGACCCAAACGTGTCATATTCTTGCCGTTTACCATCATCACTTAATACCTAGAATGAAACTGATAGAGTAGATAAATACAAAATTGAAGAAAACCATACAAGTACATTCAACAAACGGTGTATCATTTCTAACAGAACAACAGTTTCCATATATTTACGACAATCTACGTTTCTTCAGATGCTACTTACCTTGATTTCAAATGCCGATAGCTCCTCAGTGGTTATCTTGTCGTAGCGACTTAGTGGGAATAGGGCATGCATAGGTATAGAACTACCAGCAGAATCTTCCGATGTGGGGACTCCGACATTTCTATCTTAATGTTTACCTAAGAATAAACCAATACCGGGAATAACCACCAGTTTAGCATCAACCTAGCAGCAAGATGCCAAATTCCCCTCCCCAAAACGCAAGGGGGGAGTGTCGTTCACTAACGATCTGGTCGCGAAGTGTAAGCAGTGTGGTCTTCGGCGCCCACCCTCTACCGTCCACTTTATTGACTCACACGGTATTTATCAGCACATTTGGTCATCATCCCTCATCAAGCTGAACATCAAAAACAAGACCAACATTGTTCAATAACAATGGTACGGTATACAACACCGCGAACCTATGCGTGTAGTGAGAGATGTGTTCCATAACCAGATGGCGGAATGCTTGTCATCGCCTAGGAGAAAATATATGGCCCATACCTCGAAATTTTCTATACCGCACTGTTTCCTAAATCACTAGAGGATCAAGAAACACGAAACTAAGAACACCTCCCTAAAGAACAAAAGAGTATGGCGAGCACACTTCAAACTCCAATCATGAATTTCGAATCTCCAACACCAGGAAATTTCTAAGGAACAACAAATAGGTGAAGATATAGCCAACTATGAAGGACCCAATATGGCTTGCAATACCAGATATACTGTAGAATATCAATACAGGATGTACAACGGGTAGAAGCAGAAGAAAAAGACTACCTTAAGCAGCCCGAAATTGAACAAGACCAAAAAATTTCAGTCTAGACCTGTGTATATTGACAATTCAGCTATGAGCCCTAATCAATGAGTAGAAAATTACTATCATCTTCAGTAAATACGTGAAAGTGATAACAAAAAAGCTCCATTACAGCCATTCCGTTATTAAAGCTCCGCTTTATTCCAGAACTCCCTGAAGAAAAAACAAGCCTAATTCTTTCCTGTGCAAAACAAAAGTACCTCCAGATGCAGTAAAGCACACACGTTTCTTGCAATCCATATGATATCTCACTATCAACGGGGAAAAATCCCAAACTAGAGGAAAACCTCAAGCAGTGTCAATCTGAAAATGATATGTGACCGAAAGTACTTTGCTAGTAGACCCCCTTTGTTAATCGAAAGCATCTTCTTTGCCGCGCCTCATTTATACAGATATATATGGATATACACATGCATATATTATATATATATATATATATATACATATACATATACATATGAAGAGCTGGACAGTAGTGCAGTGGTGGCGACGCGGCGCACCATAAACACGACCCTGGTTCCCTATGGGGGGCGGAGAATCGCAGAATCGACTCCACCCAGCATTCAACAATAATCAAAAAGGCAAAACCCCCAAGCAGTAGCCCAAACAACATGTGAAATTTTCGAAGAACTTTGTGGACGATAAATGCGAGGAAAACGAATGATATGGAAAAAGTACAAGGATCCGCACAGCAAATATGAAGACCGATCATGAAAAAAGGATGCGCATATATATATATATATATATACATATGCTTATATATGTATTCATATGTACATATACATATGAATGTAGTTACTGAATCCCTGCCATCACAGGAATCGCTGTCGTCCTGGAAGAACTAGAGTTGCAAGGTGAGAAACTTCACTACAATCCAGAACGGAATAAAAATGCCGGCACAGGAAACCCAAACACGGCTATCCTCGGTTTCATGGGAAAAGCACGCTTTGCTGGCAACCAGTATGTTAATGTGACGAAAATAACAGAGCTTCAATTAGCATTTGGAGCAAAATACAAGCTAGATCGCGCTTGTGGATGATAGATTGAAGACAATGCCACGAATGGAACCAGTGCTCAGACTCGTATGACATGTGAGGAAGTGTCACCTATGTTTCCAATTATGCATGTATGTATCTAAATGCATGAACATATGCGTATATATACATATAAATAAAGATGTATATACATATATGTATGTGTATATGTACATTTATATTCATGTAGTGTTAAGATATAGGAGAAAAGCAGAAAGCTCTAGACGTTGATAAATCGTTGAGGAATATCCCATGCATTCAACTTCATCGAGCATTGTTAGAGGAGACTGAATATGTCTCTGACTTATAGAATGGCTTGCCGTGGCCTACCGGCTATCAAGCCAGTGCTGCTACCATTTCATACATTTCCGGAACCAATTTTCCGACCCAGGAGAAATGGAAGGTTTGGTTAGCCCAGGGTGTGGGATTGTAGCAAAGGCTATGTGTGTATTGCAAGGCATCTCTAACCAATATGCCAGACCCAGTGTTCAGATCAGCACAAACAATAGAATGCATATAAATAAGTCTATTAAGAGCAATGTTCATAAATGCAGACAAACAATACGTGAATTGATTAGAATCATATTTGAGTCATGCTATCGACACTGCGTTAACGAAGAAAATACCAGCGAGTTGCTATGAAGGCACCAACCTCGTATGCTTCAGAAATTTCTTGAAATTTCTCTTGTGCTTCTTTACTTTTGTTCACATCAGGATGATATTTCTTAGCAAGCTGAAAACTGATGAAATAACTTACAGTGCAGTAATTTTTCAACAAATGGAAGAACAATGTTAACCTCTTATTTTCTGCCTACCGTATCACCTGTAACACCTGTAATCTCGTTGACCGTCGAGTGACTCAAGCGGGCGTCAGTAAATGCTCCACTTTTCCCTGTCGCGTGTAAGAGTAGCCCAGTGGGTTCTGCTCGCTCTAGGGACTCGTCGAGTATCACATCTTTTTTCAAGGCTGTTTGTGAAGAACTCTGACCATCGGGTCGGTGGTCTTCCTGCAGTACGAGTGACATCCTGGGAAACCCAGTAACCAACGGCTCCTGTCCATCGGTTGTCATTTATACGCATTAAGCGTCCGACCCACCTTATCTTCGACTGTTTGGCGTACAGAACGCATCTTTGATTTTTGATCGTTGACGCAGATCGGAGTTTCGGGTCCCATCCCTTACTTGTGTGGAACGGGATACTCCTAGCATCGTCCTTTCGACTGCACGTTCGATAACACTAAGTGACCTTTCATCCTGCTTACGCAGCGACTGAGTTTCTGACGCATACGTTAGGGCATGAAGTACCGTTGAGTCGAAAAGGTGGGCACGGAGTCGAGTGTTCTTTGTTCTCTTGACTACATCCTCGATACTCTTGAAAGCTCCCCAAGCCGCTCATTTCCTCCTGCTCAACTCTGGAGCTGGGTCGTTCATCATATTGATTTCCCAACCTAGACAGACATAACTGGAGCTTTCGGAGATATTTCCCCGTTGAGCGTGAATGGGGCATACGAAACCAATCACTTCCTCATTAACATCGTTTTTGTGAGATTTAGTCGAAGACCAATCTTTCCACACGCTTTATCAAAGTTGTCAAGCACACGTTCCGCTCGGCCAATGTTTGGTGTTATAAGGACGATGTCATCAGCAAAGCGAAGATGGTGTAACTGCCGACCATCGATTTTCACTCCAATATTATCCCATTCCAATGTTCGCATGACGTTCTGGAGGGTGGCGGTAAATAATTTTGACGAGATTTTCGACAATTGCCAAAATTCTGCCTACTATAATTTTATAATGTGACTTTAAACGCAGAGCACCAAAGCAAGGGCCTCTGTGGTGCAGTGTGCAATACGCGAGCCCCCGAAAAAGGTAATCGTGGTTCGATAAGGCTCGGAGTCCAAATTTTGCGAATATCTTAGCATCGTCTTGGTTAAATAAAAGAACCTCAGTGTACAGAAGGCACACTCAAACTCACCTGAAAATATGCTTTCTTTATTTCCTTTGCAGTAGCGTCCTTCTTCACTCCTAGAATTTTGTAATAATCTTCTTTACCAGACGGTCGAGTTGAATGGAAATACCGCCTTCCACGCACTAAAACTGCTTATTAGCAGTGATTCTACAGAAAACCAGATAGCAAAAGCTTACGCTCCAGTGGCAACCTCCGTAAAGGCACTACGCATTTAAGCGGAATACCTGACGAATATATAGAAACGGAAGGCACCTGAATGTAAGATACAAGCAAGGGCATGCTGATGAGAATAACCCTCCATTCTATGGCCAGATTTCGCAACCATATTCCTGAACAATGCAATCCAAACTCACCTGACTAAGTACTAGAGCAACACATCGCTTCAATGGCAAAGCGGTCCTACTAAGGTTTATCATACCATGAACCCAGTCCACGTATTCAGCTCCCACGCTATCTAAAAATGATCGATCAGAAATCTCAATAAGTCTGCCAACCAAATATGCGATTTTTACTTCATCATGAACTAAGAGTACGGCCAAAGAAGGACACAGAGATGCCCAATATATGAAGGGATGACAGAATGATGAATGGATGTACGCATAGAATTGTTTCTTCAATGTCTACATGGCGAAACATCACACATTGTGGCGATGCCAACACGCCTCTCCGTCTATTCGTGTACTCGCATCCACCATCCGCGAAGGCCTTCGGAGTGGCATGAGCATTCGGCTGCTGCTTGTCGATTTCATTCTCTATGAACACCGTCGAATGCTAATCAAGTTGACTCTACTGAAACCAACAGACCGGAGAGTTAGTGCGTTCCCTAGTCATCACCGTATGCAGTCAGAATCCTTCACGAACTGGAAGGTGCTTCTCAGTGAGTTTGATCTCTCTCCTTCTCTCTCTGCCCGATCCCCGACTCCGTGATGTTGTGGGCTTGGCTAGTCCAAAGAGGATCGAAAGAATTGGGATTGGGATTCAGAAGGGCTACGAATAAATCCTTGGGTTTTAAGAGCAAATAGGAACCATTCAAAAACTCACGGATGGAAAATTAAGCGTATTTAAAAGAAATAATAACACTGATGCAACTTTCTCGAGATTTTAGGGGGTGTGCATTGCCCATGGAGCGCGATTTTCAACGTAGTATGTTACACAACGTGGCGAAAGATCTAGATGAATGGAATGCACTGATTCCAAAAGTGATGAGGGAAAGCGCGATAAAATGATAAAAGATACAGCTCTGGGGGTTGATCAATCCCTGAGAGATGCGCCATGCATTCGACTTCATTAAGTATCGTTTGGAGGTGAGTGAATGAATATATGGCCTTTACAATGACTCATGCTGGCCTACCGATCTATCGAGCTAGTGCTGCTATCCTCCCAGACAACTTCGGTACTAACTTGCCTGCCCCATAGGATTTGAAGGCTTGGTGGGCCATGGGTGCGGAAATCGATCCCATGTGTATAGCACGGCGCCTCCAACCACTGCGCCACACTCGCCAAAAACGCGACAGGATTAAGAAATGTGACAGGGAGCATGGTCCACAGTATTCGAATTCTGAAAGAACGGGTGGAAGGAGTTCCTTTATTTTATAGCATCTTCGGTAAGGGATGTATTTTGAAGGGCCTCGTTGTTCATTCCCGGTCCGTGACAATGTTTGTTCTAGAAGTTGTAGATTTTTCGAGTAGCTCATCAAAACAGACTATGAAACGATACGATGCATAACACCACTTTTATAGCGTCTTTCTGACCTTAGTATCGTATCGCATCATTTCGCATTGATTGACTGCACAGAGATAACCATTTCTGTCTCTCTCAACACCTTGTATTGCAAATTTGCCGACTATATTTCTTCTAGTTGTCCTCACTTTGTCGTTAATATTCTAGGGTTGAAACCTACCCAGACCATTGTTTAACCGCTCACTGGGCCCACCAAGATACTCGCCTCCCACTGTGGTTCGGAAATTAGTACGAGACTTGTTTGGGACAAGCTGACTCTCTCTAATCCATGCGTAGACACCCTAGAACGACTATCTTAGGATTCTAGAGAGGATCGACTCGACCAGTAGTCAATGACATTCATAGAGAAGACGAAAAATTCTCAAGCAGTAGCCAAAGCAAGACACAAAGTGCTTGAAGATCTTCGTGGATGACGGAGGCTACGGAATGAATTGAATGCAATACGTACTGGAACCCTCACAGTAGACGTGATGGCAAGCCATTTAAATAAATGGTAATGACGGCTATAGCTATTATTGGCATAAATATTTTTGGTTATTCACCTTACCTGACCCGCTATTACATATTGTGCGGTTCTCTCCAGAATATTCTTTCGGTTTATTTCCTCGCATCCACCATCCACGAAGATTTTCCGAATTTGTGTCTGGATTTCCTTGCCGCTTTAAAAATTTTGTTTCTTTTTATGAGAGTTTCGTTCAATATTGGTCATGTCGGTTCTCTTTGGAATCTTGCGATAGCCGTGCTAAGGAATTTCTAGGTCTCGTGAATGGAACAGAGCTCCTCTGACAAGTCAAGTACCAATTCTCCGATATCGGAGGCATGGAGACATGCGTCAGCTTGGGGCACCGTCGAACCAGGGCCTTGTGCGAATAGCGGAGGATTAACAATCGATGAAAAAATTGTTTCGAATTTGCACATGTTTTTGCCCACAGGTAACATGCACCCGTCTCTTTGTAGTATAAAGGCCTACGTATCACTAGTATGCTGAGTGATTCACTTTTTGTTTAACGTTTTGTTTTCTGCCTTCTATAATTTTCATGGCAGGTTACTAAGTAAGCGAAATACAACCACAACGTTGCTGAGATATTTGCAAAACTCTGGACCGCAGGTGTCTATGGTGGGGAACGAACGCGCTATTGTCCTTTCCGGGGAGTAACGCGTTCACCACCACACCATGCGGGTC